GTAGGTTTACTTAGTAAAATTTAGAGAATAGAGTGATTGTTTTTAGAGAAAATTTGGTACAAGTGATCGTCGGAAAGTGTTAGTGATTTGCGTTACTAGAAAATTTCTACTTTCGCATCTATAGTAATTTATATATAGAACCGCGTCATATTTCACTATGATCATTCTTCAGTTGACTGGAGAATCATCAATTAATAAATCATATTAAATTAATTATATCACCCTAATTAAACGTTGTTAGTGTTTCTTTTATAGTATTGTGTAATATAATATCATCTAATTTTTCAAAGGTTATAAAAAGGACTTGACTATTCAGATAAAAAAAAAATCACCAAATTTATAGTAAACTAACATATCTAATTATTACACCACCTCTGAAGAAGAATTTGTTCATATCAATGATGTCACTTCCGAAGAGGAAGAATCTGATTTACATAATAATGTTGAAGATGAAGAAAATGATGCTGTTGCCACTACAAGAAGCTTCATCAGACAGCAGTTTTAGTACAAATTACAGTAAAAATAAAATGTCACCTGTGTGAAATTTTATGAGTAAGCAAAAAGAGGGAGATAAGGTTATTGCGAGAATATGTGGAAAATGTGAACAGAAATTTAACCCTACAACAACTATCAGAATTTTAGGTAATTATATAAGTAATAAGCATAATATAGAACTTATCCTAAAAAAAAATAATTTGATCCAAAAGCTATATAGTAAAGGAGATGTTTAACGTAAAAAAGAGTGTTTTAATAGTACTTTAAATCTTATAGTTTGTTGTCAGCCCCTATTTACAGTTGTTGAAAACCCCTGGTTTCAAAAAATGGTGAATACATTTGACCCAAAATATAAGCTTCCATCATGTTAGTATGTAAAGAAGGAGATAATGAATCAATTTAAAACTTGGTATGCTCTTGTTTCAAAAGAACTTAGAAGACTCACCACCAAAGTTTCACTTAGCATCGATATCTGAACGTCAATTTCCAATCAAGCATTTCTTGGAGTTATGATACATTATATTAATAACAAATAGCAAATACATCGACTATTGCTGGACCTTATTCATTTCGAGCAAAATCATACTGCAATATCTACTAAAAAATGCTCTATGAACTTTGTAATACCATGAATATTAGTGATAAAGCAATTGCTTTTACTATGGATAATAACTCTGCGATAGTACTATGTGAAACCTAATAGAGCAAGAATAGAATTTACAAAATTTTCACCACCACCATTGTGCTGCTCATGTTCTTAATCTAGCTGTGAATAGTGGAATGCAACTTAAAACATCAGTAATTAAAAAAGTTAGGATTTTTGTAAATAAAATTAGACACTCTACTGTCTTATGTGATGCACTTCGTCAATTTTGTGAAATGAACCATAAAAATTATATCAAGCCAATTCTTGATGTAAGGTGAGTATAAAAAATAATTTAATATTCAAAGCATTTTAAAATAAGTTATTCAGATTTATAAATACTTACTATTTGCTTAATTTTCATTATATTAATTTAAACACATGGTGGAACAGTATCTATAACATGCTTCATAGGTTCAGAAAAATGTGTAATGAGTTAAGTTTACTTGCAACTGGCATAAAAAACAACTTGAAAATTATTATCTTAATGATGAGGAATGGGAGTTGTAGATTGTATGATCGAATTGTTAGAACCTATACTTGTCACAACAGAATTATTATCATCAAGCTTATATCTAACCATCTCTAATATTCATTTAACTTTTTTGAAACTTCTTCATTATCTTAGTAAATTTGTCAATAACAAATCAAGCTTGACTGAAAATACATGATGGCAGATACTATTCGATCTAAACTAGATGAATATTGATTCATACTTGAAGAATCAATTATGATTGCTACAAGTCTTAATCCATCATCCAAGCTTATGATCCTTCCCTTTGGCGATAAAGATGCTGCTCTTACTAACCTACAAAATATGATGATTCACTATAAATCACAAGTCCCACAAACAACTACGGCCACTTTCACTTCTAAATCGACTTCTAAAAATAAATGAAAATTTTTTGAGTCATTATTAACACAGCAACAAGCAATCAAACAACCTTTAATGGAGGAACTAGAATATTATGTGTCTATGCCAACAACTATTAAAAACAACTCTCTTTTATAGTGGGCTGAAAATGAACACAAGTTTCTAACACTTGCAAAAATGGCCCAGAACTATCTTTCAATCCAAGAAACAAGTATTCCTTGAGAGAAAGCCTTCTTTACTGCAGCAGAAATCCTTACAAAAGTTCATAACTGTCTTGATGCTCAAACATCCCATGCATCACTCTGTCTAAAAAGTTAGATAGAACAAGGTGTTGGTATGCTAAACTAAAATCAAATAAATTCATTAGAACTTATAGATAAAATATATTGAATAGTTTTTTTTAATATTTTATATCTTAGCGTCAGTATCTTAAATTTTAGCATTATATAGATTTTTTTTATAAACGAAAAAAAAGCCATAAGGCTAAACATTATATAGATTTGTTCAATCATATTATGATATGGTAAATATAAGTTGATATAAGAAATTTTATTATAATAAGTATAAACATTAACAATAAATATTTAGAATAAATAAAATACAAAAATTCTTGTAATTAATGTATTGAATGAAAACAAGAAATGAATTTAATGTTAGTGATTTTTATTACCATTATAAAAAAACTGTATGAATCAGCAAATTTTGATTGGCTAAAATCAATGATTACGTCTGTATGTACCACTGCGACATTGCATAATTATAATATGATTATAGAAATTTTGATATTGAATTATTATGTAATTATAGAAATTTCAATATTGATACAAAATATTGCATATATTTTCTTTTGTGGATGCTGCACAGAAAAAATTAACATTTTAGAAGTAGTATGCATACATGTAAACAGTTGTTCATAGTTTTCTTGATTTGCCGCAGAAAAAGTTTCTAAATTGTGCAATATCTACACAGTAAATTTTAACTGAAAAATTAATACTGGTCCTAGACCTTTCACAAGGTACCATTACAGAGATAACTGCATTTTTTTTAGCTATTAGTAGTTTCAGTGTAAAGAATACATGTTATATGAATAAAATATGATAAGTCTAATATAATTAATATATTTGATTTTGTTTAGATATAATAAGAATACTCGCACACAAAAATGCAATTTAACTTGTTTAAAAATTTGATTATACAGGTGAAGTGTTTTCGATGCAATTGATACTCACAGCATTCTGTTAAAATTAACGCTTATATAAATTATAGCAAAAGTTTTGACATATCTGTTTGTAAACATCTATACTGACCTTCTATATTAATTTTTCATATTGGAAATACATCATGAAGTAGACATTGCTATACTTATGCCAAAACAGTTTCTGGCTGGGTTAAATTTAATGACAGTATGATATTAAATATATGAATAATATCATTAATTATATATTGTAAATATTTCTTTGTTGATGATTTATTGAATTAACTTATTTATTTTTACTACAGGCTGTTTTAGAAGCTACTATTATCTTAAGAACTAGAATCTATAGACACAACCTAACAATTGATACTCAGCAGTTATACAAACCCTAGTGCTAGTATTAATCTTTCAGTAACTTAACAATTGCAGATTATATGACACTCATGAAGGTAGATTTAGTATATATCCAAACAGTTGTTATTCATCTATTTGTATCCTCATATACAATATAAATTTTAAAAATTTTATTACATTATATCCAGAGTTTATTATAGAAATGTTCGTTAATAAAGAATACAAGAAATAAATGTTGAATCAATTCTATGACACTAATGGCTAATAAAAAATAATCAAAAAGGAGAAACTTCAAACTTTTGAGCACTTTATTCTTGACTGCCTGATCAATTAACAGGTTTGGAACTTAGGCTATCGAATACTAAACAGCATTTCTAATATAATAATACCCACTCTCTTTTACCCAACTTCTCTCAGCATGCACTAAAAGAGCTATCAAGTAGTTAAACATTCATAGTCTATGAAATATGGTGTTTGTATATCTCCTTTAAATGGGGTAACAATACAATAAACACCTTTAATATTTCAACTATTATTACAAATTATCTAAACAGAACTTACTGTTTCCAATATCTTCTATATACTGTAAATAAAAGTCTTCAATCGGCCTTAAAAATTTTTTTAAAAAATTGTATTATTGTAAATATTAAATAAAGCATTATAAGTATACCTTATATTTCAATAATAATAAAAAAATAAATAATCAAAAATAACTTTTTTGTTCATTCCAACTAGCGTGTCTAGAATTTTGTGGTATATAAATCTGCTCATTCTAAAACTATCTTTTTGTATTGTCTTCATAAGATAAACATGACTTTAATTATTTGTTAAAACCAAATATAATACAAAAAAATATTTTTAGAGCAAGCAGATTTATGCACCGCAGAATTCTGGATGCTCTAGTTTAAACATCAAGCTGATCTTTAATTTTATTATCACTACTTTGCTTTAACTCTTCTCACGAAATCTATAAACCTTATTACTCTCAACTTTATATTTTAACCTATTTGATAGTCAAGATTCTATATTAGTTGAAATTATGAATAATAAGTTTCACAAAATATATAAAAAATAGTTTAAATTGTCAAATTTAATTAATTTATTGAACCCATAAGTTAAACTTAAATATTCAAACATATTTCTCATATAGCTTTTGAAGTACTTTGTGGATTACTGAATTGCTTTGATAGTTTATGAAATAAAATGTGAATTTGTTAATTTTTTTTGTCTTACCCTCTCGAAATTTATATTTGTGATGTAAAATTCAATCTTGTGACAAAAAATATAAAACTTTATTATGATAAGATGATTTTTAAAAATCAGCCAACTATAATAAAGCCCACTATACTTGTATAAAATAAAATTATTGCTATATTATATATAAGTACAAGTATAGTAAACCGTGGTTTTTAGCTATGGTTTTAACCATAGCTTAAGCCATGGTTTAAAGCTATAGCCTTATGATATTTTAATCGTATAATATTAATATTTTAAGCTGGCTAGCCTGGTTTTAAATAGCTTGGCTTCAAAACTATGGCTGAGCCAGCTTTAAATAAGCTATTAACATCCCTAATTATAGTATAATATGTTGTGGTTTTATATATAAATTACTATAAATTCAAAAAAATTTTCCAGTAATTGTTTAAGGAAAACTTTTTTCATACTAAGTTAATTCTCTTTGAATCTTTAAGTAAAGTTGTAGAGCTTATTGAGATAAATCTAATGATAGTTAAATTATTAAAATCAGTTTAGTAGATGCTAATATATCTTTAAAAATATTTCTCTATCTATATAAAATTCTTTAAAAACAATACAAAGAATTTTTATATAGTTGGTAAAATGTTTTTTTAAAAATATCTTAGCATCTATTAGCCAATTTGAATGATCTAACTACTATTAGATTTGTCTCAATAAGCTCTACAACTTTATTTAATAACTTACATATTTGGCAGTGATTAACTTTGTATTCACTGATCTGTTTGGGATGATTTTATCACCAAAATGTTCATCTCAGTAAGACAATTTTAATAAGCCTAAAAAGTATCAAAATCTAATTATAGAATTCTGAGATAATTAAATAGTTATTTGATTTAAGTAAAATAGGATGAGTTAAACCCATCCTATTTTACCTGAAGCAAGAAAAAACTTCAATTATTTCAGAATTCTATAATTAGATTTTGACACTTTTAGGCTTATTAGAATTGTCTTACTGAGATAGTTCTTTTAGTAGTAAAATCATCCCAAACAGATCAATAATTAAAAAGCTATTCACTGTCAAATATTTTGTTATTTTTAGTAATAATAATGCAAATCTTTTTTTTTGGTATTAAGGTAAGGCCTTGCTCATATCTTTATTAATAATTTTATTAGATAATAGTAACCACAAGTTAAATAATCAACTAATATAAATATTACTACAATTCATAAAATACAAATAAAATAAAACTATATAGCAAGAATAAAAGCTTAGACTAATTTATCTGCGATCTAAACCTACTAGAGTGGTTCTTGGCTCATCTAGATTATAATGGAGGAAATATAATTAATTGAAGTACTATATTTGATCTAATGAAAAGACCAAGTATCGAATTTCCTCCTAGTCTGGCCAACAGATAGACAGACATTAGGATAACTATATAATTAATCTGGTTCTCCATATAGACAAGAATAAGTATATATTGTACAGGTATATTGATTTGAGGTAATAGATTGTGTTAAACTTGAAAAATCAGATTGTTGTTCAAGACTGAAAGATTCAGGTTGTGTAGAAGGGCTTGAATTGTTAGAGTATAGATAGTTGAGTTTATTGAGCTTTCTCCAGTTAGAGAAGTTAGAACAATAGGGTTTCTATAATTGTTCATATAATTGTTTATTTATTTTAAGTAATATATTGATTACTACTTGAGAGGCAGTCTTGTAAGAGATATCATAGTTTTGAATAGTTTTAATTAAAGATATAGAAATTAAACCTTTGAGTGTGATATCCAAATAATGTAAATAAGGTTGAAAAGCAGATAGATGAAATGCTTCATGATTGTGAATTTTGTAAATAAGTTCCTCTAGCTGATTATTTGAAAAATTAAGATCTACTGATCTGAGATATTGTGTAATAGTATTAGTAATAATTTGGTAGATTAATCCAGAGTTTTGGCAACTATACCAATGTAGAGGTGTATTTGGTAAATTACAGTAAAGCAGTTAATATTTGGAAAAATTCTAGTGTATCGTGAATGATAAAGGTAATTCATTAAGTAGAATTTTGATTTTGAAGAGTTTGAGTTGATTAAGCTTGAAGTTTGTAATATTAGAAGTAGGTTTTTGGTTATAATTAAAGTATAACTAGGTGGCTCTCTAGTCAATTCGACGGTTAAGTGAAGACCACTCATTATTATGATTTTGTGATAATCACATTGCCAGAATTTGTGCTTTACATATCTTTTTAACAAATACACAAGTAGGAAGCTCAACAAAATATTGTTCATCTCTCTACTGAAGTGTATAATAAGGATTATAAGTCTTATTGTAGTTAAAAAGAAGTGGTATATCTAATATATATTGTTTAGCTAATGAGTCAGCTAAGTTATTAAAAGCATTGTCTTAATGAGCTGAAACTTTGATAAATATGATTTCTAATTTATATGAGGAAATAATATTAAGAAGTGTATGCCATAGAGGCTATGCATTAAATTTAAGAAGTTTGTTGGGGTTAATAAGAGAAGAATTAAGTTTGGCGTATTTGGATATAATTGATTAGAAGTCTGTATATATATTAATTATAGAATTACAAGGTGTTGTAGAAATAGCAGACAATATAGAGAAGAGTTCAGCTTTATAAGATGGCCAAAGATGAATTTAAGCTGAGAATTTGTAAATGATTTGATAGTTGTTATCTATTTGAACCTATCCTATACCCATTGAATACTGTTCAGTGCCAATGTTAATCACTAAACCATCAGTATAGAAATTAAACTGTCTTTGAATAGAGTTTTGAGCAAAAATATCTTCTAATCTAGCTGACTTTTCATTAGTTTTAAAAATTGTAGAAATTGTAGAGTTACTAATAGGAATAGAAGGAGGAGGAGGTAGTGAAGAATCTAAAAGTGGAAATTTTACTGCAGTAGAGAAAAGAAGGTCCATATAATTGAAGTTTAATTTAAAATTATTATTAAGGAGTCTGCCAAAGAACTAAGCAAAAGTGATTTTGAATATATTGATAGTACATACAGATTGTAGTCTATTAGAGTTAAGATGGCATCCAGTACAGGGCTGGCAATTAATAGGTTGTAGTAGGTAGCATCTAGTCATATTTGTATCAATATTAGTTTGCCAATGCGTAGTTGAACATTGGTTTGAATTTGGTATAAATGTGCAAATTTTGTCTAAAATGATTTCATTATCATTAAAAGTAATTAGCCATGGTTTGGATTTTGTTTGAATATTATATGTATTATATGCAAATGGATTTGTTTCTTGTTGTAGATATTGTGTAAATAGAGAGCGACTATGTTTGTTTTCAATAACTATATCTTCTAGTGTAGTAAACTATAAAGGTTTTTTGCCTTTTGGTAGAAATTGTAGTCTTGGTGAAAGATGTTGCCATTCCAAAAGACTAACACTATCAGAGGTGCAAAGTTGTTTCAGAAAAAGTACTTGTAGATTTCTAAGTTGTTTCTTGAAGGTTGTATAGTTATTGTTTGCATTAAAGCTCAAAACAACGAACCTCTTACCCATCAAGAAAAAATTCTAATTTCTTTAATCAAACTCCGAGAACTTACCTTTAAAGAAAAAGGTCTAATATTGTCATCATTATTTCCAAAAAAACCAGATACACAATAACAACAAAAAGACTAAGAAAACAAATCAGAACAACAATAGCAACAACAACACCAATATCAACAACACAATGATGATCAAGAACAACAGCAGAAACAAATACAAAGACCTACTAAAGATATATACAATGATCTAGATTGGTTTAAAGAATATCTAATTTCTGAAAACATGCAACTCTATACAAAATTTGACAATCCTCTTGCATATCAACTTTTCAATTTTATTGAACCACATTTAATCGATATCTACCCAGGCAAAGTAACCAAAAAAGCAGAGGGCGATAAACCAGAATCTAAATTTACTTATAAATATTTATTTAACAAATTAGTAGGCCTAAGGCCTAAATTTCTTACAGACTTTATTTACCAAAATAATCTAGATATTAATAATGCTATTTCAATTCCATTTAATATCCTTCACTCTATATTAATTTTATTATTTAAAGAATTTACTACAACTCTCTTTACACAAATTGATTACTCTAAAGTTTTAACTGTATATAACACTATCTCTCTATATACTACTACTAATTGTAATTAAGTAGCATTAAATCTTGCTCGTATATACCTTATACTTCATGACAAATACCAGACTATCAATACAAAAAACTTTGTGAGGACCTAAATATTCATCCAATTAGGCTTAGACTTCACTACATCTTTAGTATAGATGCTATCAATCAGCCCTTAATCAAAATTCAAAATGATAGCTTATTCAATATAGATGTTTTCCTTAATATTCCAAAAAAACAATTTCTCAAAACCTTTCAGATCTCTTTACTCAAAAAATACTCTGATGATTTCGATGCCTTGTTCTTCAAATTCTTTAATCTATATAAGAGACAATTTCATAAAATTGACAAGAAAAAAGTTTACAATTATATCAAATATAATATTGCTCAAAAAACTGTAAAGATCTTTTACCTCACCATTTCTCTATACCTAATATTAATTCACTATGCAAATGATTACAACAATGCTTTAAAGCAGCACTGTTCTACATCCATAAATGTGATGGTAAAAACTGTAAAATACTATCTGAAAATAAGAAACACAATGCCAAAAATCTATCACAAGTTTTTTTTGAAGAATCCTTCCAGCACCAACCAAAGCTTTTATCTCTAAGCCTCATCTTAATCAACCTATTTTAGATTTTTCAATTTTTGAAAAAGGCAAAGCATATATAGCCACTTTTCAAAAATCTACACCAATCACATTCATGTGCAAGCTCGCTAAAGAAAGAGAAGATGAGTGTATGGAAATCAATCAGATTGAGACTGATTACACTAGAGAGAGCTATTATTTTTATAAATACTTTAATGCCTACTTAAAAGCAGCTGCAACTAATGATGGCATCATTAACCAACCGGTTTATGAAGTTATCTCTAGTATTACATCCAAACCAATTGACACTAACTACTTGGCACACATACTCACTTATTTTCACATTCTCTCTAAAGCTGGTGATAAATTATCAATTTAATACATTAGAAAAAACTATCAAGAGAAAGCTTATTCAGAAGCTGAAAAACACTTTATACTAAATTTAAAGTCAACTTCAAAACTCTGAAAGTAACATCTAATCTTTTTAAACCAAATATGAC